TATCGTCGAACAAACTTCTAATTTGAGCAGTAGTTTGTATACTAGTTTCAGGATTCAATGCGCGAGTTTTACTACTTGCATCAACAACAAATGCTGATGCTTGCACATTTTTAATAACAAATTGTTCCATAAGACGCCAAGACTTTTCATCCTTATACTGCAAAATTCAGATGATAATTTTATCATGATAATGATATTACATTTTATATAGTATAAGTTTTTTTTAAACGTCAACGGGCTTTAGTACAATTAAATTTCAGTATAGTAAAATAAATGTTAATGTATAATAATTGTATTTTTACTAACTTATTTATACTTAATAGTTATTTCTTAATTTTTTTTCTTTAGTGTACAACAGATGGTTATTATAACATAATTTAAAACTTTAAAAGTATTTAGTATTTTATATTTACCAATTGTGGAATAACTTTATCGGTAATATAATATTGGAAAAAGGTAGCAAACCCTTCATTTAGCCAAATGTAATTCCACCAAACGCAAGTAACTAAGTTACCAAACCACTGATGAGAGAGTTCGTGAGCTATTATTGTCGCTAAAGCTTGTTTTTCTTCCGTGGTTGTTTTATTCTCTACATAGAGAAGTCGAGATTCTCTAAAAAAGAAACAGTATGTTACATTTTTTAATGCATTAATAATATTGTTCTTGTGATAATAATTATTCTAACTTGTATAAATAAAATCATGTTTGAAGGAATATAATAGTCACGTCAGTTTGGCAAAAAGTTGTGCAAGATAAAAATTTGTACATTCTGTATAAAACTTTGTAAGTAATTTTAATAACAATCAATAAAATAGATTAAATAGATAAAGTGTAATAGATAGAATAAATATAAAGGAGATTGATAAATAGATTATATATATAGATATATATCGATTAGATATATTATAAGTTTTAAAATATAAATTCGGACTGTACTAATAAAAAAATAAGTAAAAATTCGTTGAACTTTGATCGTTCTATAATTAATGATCATTATCCGACATTACCTATACGTCACAAGACCCCAATTTTCCATAGCAGCTGCTGCGAAATCTGGTATTGCAATTTGATCCAGCTTTGACATTCCTTGCTCCTTTCCATAATAATCAATGTTGGTAAAATTTTTTAGTACCTGTAACGTTTCTAATCCATACTTGAATGCAAATTCTTTAGCATCTTTTTCTATCGTAGGTTTCGCCCAAACCCTAAAATTTTTATTATTTTCCAGAGCCGTGAAATCCGAAACTACAAAAGCTACGAGATAAGTGGACATCTTTGGTGTCTTCTCGAAAATCGTGTTTAAATTTTCAATTTTTTTTTGAGGCATATTCGAAATTGCTATGTAATTTTTTTGAGGAACTGTAATAGTAATGGTAAAATGTGCTTTGAATTGTGGTTCGTCCCAACATGGAAAGGCCTGTCTCGCGCTTACTGGTTCAAAGTGAGTCGCTGCGAGCCATCTGTAACATATAATTAATTTTATTATTATGAATGATTTTCTATATTTCATATATTTGTTGAAGTAGAATCGTTTGTTTTTAAAAAAATCGTCTATTTTAATTTTAATTTATAAAAAATTTGATTCAATATTGTTTAAAAAATATTATATCTATTTTTAGTATAAAAACAAATTAATTATTCGGCTCTTATAACAAAAAATTCTTAAAAAAATTTACAAAAAAAGCGAAAAAATTTTTTAATTACAAAATTAAAAAAATTTCTAGATACTTGAATTTATAATGATAATAACTTTCTTTTTAAATAACTTATTTAATCATTTAAGCTACAATTAACTACATATAAAAATTATTTTAAATAATATTAAATTGATTGTACAAAGCTTATATAAATAAAAATATTAGTTTTAATTAAATAGTTTCTAGCAAAAATTTTAATAGAAATTTAAACGCTTCCTTACATCTTTTTTCCTTCCTTATTCTGGTAAGAACTTCTGTAGAATCCACGTAATTCATCGTTTAACTTTCCGATATAGTTCAAAGATAGTTGTGCAATTATGTTTGGGGGAATGGACTCTTTAAAAATGAGCGTCACAAAGTCCTTATTTATATCTTTCTTTAACTCAATTAGATTATAAGTTTCAGTTTCGTTTTTAATTTTATGTGTTAATTTAATACTCTTCTTAATGATATCAATTTCCTTAGCATGGAAAACTATGGTATCTGTCTCTTTCGCAATAAAGAGAGTGATCACAGATTCTCCTTTAAAAGTAAAATTATCTTGATTGGATGACTCGAAAATCGGCTGCAATTTGATATCATATTCCGTAGGTATTACATCTAGTGGCAATCTATAGTTATCTAAAACTTCTTCAATAAGTTGAGGAGTCACATCATCGGAACTAGGATAGCTCGCCCAGCAAGTCGCTAGGACAAGTATCAATGATAACAGGAATTTCATCCTTAACATTGTACCTAGCAAAAAAATTTTACGTGAAAACACCGATTTAATTTATTTCTGTTATATAATACAATTAAGACACAAGGAGTAAGGACAAGATGCATAACAGTTTATATAATAAATCTAAGAAAAACTAATTAAATATTTTTTGCAAATATTTAATTATTAGTTTTCATTAATTTTTAAAAATATTTTTAAAATGTTTTAATTAATATTTATGTGATACATGAAAAATCTCGAAATTTATATATAATTTAATATTTGTTTTTGTTTATACTTAAATCAAGAATTTAATAATATGATAAAAGAAAAATATTAAATTAGGAAGAAAGAAATTATATCAAATTTTGTAAATTACACATTAAATGTTATATAAAAAATATACAATTTTTCAATAAGAATGTGCATTATAAATTTTTAAATCAATAAAATTTTTAAATCAATAAAAATATTATTTATATTTATCATAATTGATTGTTTCATAAGAGAGGTGCAATGAATATAATAAATAATTAATGACGTACCTTAAAGTTAAAGATGAAGAGCCGTGAAAATCGATTCCTCGTCCCCGCAGAGACGAGATTTATTGAAAGACTATACTTGGTTGAAACTTCGGGCTTTATAAGACCGTAATTGTAGGATGTCGTTAAAAAAAAATTTTGCTGCCACCTCTAATCTTATCGTCTGGTTCTTTGCAATCAAAAAGTATTATACCCTTCGAGGTAAGAAAAGTAAGTGGACCATCCCGAACGTGAATCGCAAAATTTCCGGGACAGCACCGGCACCGCTGATAACGCGATAACTAAAATACAGTATTATCCGACCAATCGATGGTAGACCCAGTCAGAGATATTATCAGAATTTAATTTTTTTATCATATCTTTCAGAACATATCGAATGGTACTGCTTAAACAACACATTGTATGAAGAGTTTGTATCACTACTATAAATTTTTACTTTTATATTGCAAATCAATTCTCGCTAAGTAAAATTGTATGTTAACTGGCAATATCTATGAATTCTCTCTTTCCTTAATTTTCTGCAGCCATTTTTCTGTTGTTAAAATTAAAATGTAAATTTTAATTAAAGTTTGTTTGTGAGTCAAGGTTTATACTTTTGTAAAATTTTTTTTTAGAATTCAACCTTTTTTATATTATTTAGTAAAATCATTATTATTAATTAATTTTTTAATTTATTTATTTGTAATACAAATACATATATACATATAAAATACATATATATATATATATATATATGTGTATATAAAATAATTGTATAAACATGTATGATTATAAAGTAGATTTTAGGTTAACCTTTATTTTCTATTATCTAAAGTATATTTACGCAAATAAAATAGAGATAAAAATTAATTGATGACATCATTTAAGATATCGTTTACAAAGTATACATGCATTATGACAGATAGGAAAAAAATGTTTAATCGTAACGAGAAAAATTTTATCGTGTTAAATATGTATTTTTATAGCGTTAATACAAATTATATATATATTATTGCAATATACAATATAATAAATATAAATATAAGAAATAAAATTATAATAAATATGTGTTATATATAAAGAAGGTAGTCTTTATCTAAAGCATAATTTTATCATAAAATATATTGTAAAAAATTTGTAAACAAATATATGTAAGAAATTAATATTAAAAACGAAAAAAGATTTTTAAAATATTTATAAAGGAAAGGCTTCTATTATGAGATATCGAGTTTATTTTAGGTAAATGCTAGAAGTCTGTGGCAGAATTTAAAAAAATAATAGATTATTTTGAAGGGAATTTAATAAGATAATGTTATATACAATTTAATTCAAATTTTATTTTTTTTGAAAATTAAAGAAATGTAAAAAGTGAGCAAATCGCAAAGTCAAGAAATTGTACTTCTAATATAAGGTACCCCGAGAAATCGATAGTAACACGCAAAGTATATCAGTATTGCAACTAAAAAAACTTTATTTAACGTTTCTTAAATATAAATAAACAAACAGCCAGGGTGCGCGAAAAATGAGTATGTGATACATTATATCCAGAACTCATCTTCAGGTAGTTGAAATCAAACATCGCAGAAATAGGCCCTCGACATTCATTCTGATTGTCCTTTTTATTATTGTACAATAACATTTATACTTTAGCAACGATTTTCACTATGACATGGGAGCATGGATTATTTCATATTAGAAATACCCTAAGTATCTCATATTACGATTGTATATTACCATGTCTTACGGTTTTGCGATCATCAAATCTAACTTCTGTAATTAAGCAATTCAACATATCCCGTATTTTTCTATTAGTACGACCTTACTCTATCACTACATGAAGAATTTATTGCCAAATATTTATTTATTAAATAATAAACAATGTTTAAAGACTCATCTTAATAAAATTTAAAGATATCCAAATTCTAAAATCTTTTTTTATGATAACTACAGGCATGATCTAATAGGGAATTTTCTACTAAACAGTTTTCAATCCAATAAATTCATGGTGGAATCAATAGATAGCGTCTATTGATTTAGCAGAAACGCCGCTATCTCATATTAAGCACCTATCTCGTAATAAGAGGTTTTCCTCTTTGTTTTAATATTTATATAAATCAATTTTTGTAAAAAGAAAAACAAAATCTAGGAATAATAGTCCAATAAATCTTAATATTCTATTCTAAAACATGTTTCTTACGTCACTTGGTATCAAATAATAATTCATCTTTCCGTAAAAATAATACATCTTATATATTCAATTTCTTTTAAAATTGGGATAGTTGCAGTGCTTGTATAGGCTTGCATAATAAACTTTTAATGCTTCTTTATTTTATTGTATATGTACATTCGATTACAAATATAATGTATATTTGTACATATACATAGTTACATAATATATTATTATAT